AGGTAGTCCAAGAAGACTCCTCCAAAGAAGTAATAATGGTGGCAACATTTAAAAGATAAAATGGGAGTTATTAGGAGATGACTGGTGGAAAAGAAAGCTCCAGACAAAGAGAATACCTGTGCAAAGACACTACAGCAAACCATGGGCATGAGTCTGAAAAAAAGAGTGTGTGGGTTCTAAGATGCTGCTGGAGAGGTAGGCAGAAGCAGGATGAAAAGGGCCTGTTAAGTCATTGAAAGGATTCTGGCGACTGACAGATTTTTCATAACATATAGGAGTAGATAGGATACATTGTATAATGCACAGGACAGCCCCTCACAACAAATTATCCAGCCCCAAATGTCAATGGTGCTTAGGTTGAAAACCCTGCTCTAGGAAACTAACCTACAAAGATATTGGCACACATAAAACACCTTTTGCACAATCATTTATTGCTTGAAATTACAAACCATTGGAAATGACACAAATATACATATATAAGACATGAGTTAAATAAATTAGAGTACATCTGTACGGTTAATGAGGAATTTTTCTTGGCTACTTTGACAGCCAAATACCTCCAGCCAGCAACACACCAACTACTTGGTCCACCGGGTGGTGTCTGGCTTGTGCTTGGGCACCAATCCTGCAGCCGCTATGGCTGCATGCTCAGCCCCTCACAGGAGGGGGTGAGTGAGCTAGTGTAGGGCCTGGCCAGAGTGCCAGCACAGGAACGGGCTCTATGCAGGACTTGCAGCTAGACCAAGCATGTCCCATTAAGGGAAATGTCGTGGCACCCAAACGAGTGCTCATGACCCCGAGGCCCCAGAGCAGGTGTTACAGCATGCTAAGAGCTCTTTTAGTTCTGCCATCTGCAGGTCAATGTCTGGTGGCAAGTTAACAGCTCTGTCAGTCCCATTGCCCTGCTCAGGCCCGTGGCTTCAGGACTGGGTCTGCCGCACTGCTGCTTCCCATCGCATTACATGGAGCAGCTGGCCTCCAGCAGCAGAGGGCAGAGGGCCACAGTGTTTCAGCCTTCTTTGCATTCATGTTTGGTGGGTCCCAAGTTTTTATTCCATGTCCAAGAATGAAGTTATGCTGACAATCAAAGGGTGAGGAGGGTGGAGAAGAGTTTTTTGTTTGTTTTTTTGAGACTGAGTTTAGCTGTTGTTGCCCAGGCTGGAGTGCAATGACACGATCTTGGCTCACTGCAACCTTGGCCTCCTGGGTTCAAGCAATTCTTCTGTCTCAGCCTCCCGAGTAGCTGGGATTACAGGCATGTGCGACTATGCCAGGCTAATTTCATATTTTCAGTAGAGATGGGGTATCTCCATGTTGGTCAGGCTGGTCTCGAACTCCCGATCTCAGGTGATCCACCTGCCTCGGCATCCAAAGGTGTTGGGATTACAGGCATGAGCCACCGTGCCCGGCTGGAGAAGAGTTTTATTTGAACTACGAAAATAGCTCTCAGTGGAGAGAGGATGCAAGGGTGGTCCCTCACTCAAAGTTGGGTGGTCTCTCTCTCAGTGTAGCTGAGTCCAGGGCTTTTAAGGGCTCAGATGAAGGAGTGCACACTGATTGGTTTGTGAGTATGCAAAAAAGGCTAAAAGACAGCACTACTCAAAGGTAGGCATGACAGAGTAAAAAAACAATTAGGGAAGGGAAGTATATGTAAAATAGGTGAAGGGTGGGGATCAATCAGAGGAAAGCATGCCAAATGGGAAGATTCGTTCTCAATCCAGTTTGTAGATTTATCCGGAATTTGTGGCTAGGCTTTAAACTGTCCTTGGCTTGAAGGTAGGGTTTCACTGGGTACCTGCCCCTGTCTGTCTAGGATTTGTTTGCCTCTTGCAGCTATCACAATGGGATACCATGTAACCATTAAGTAGAATGAGTTAGCTCTCTATATATACTTACCCAAAATTATTGCCAAGATATACCCAAAAAATACAAAAAATAAAAAGGAAGGACAAGAATAGTATTCCATTACAGTCATGTGTCCCTTAACAATGGGGATGCTTTCTGAAAAATGCATCATCAGGTGATTTTTTTTTTTTGTTGTGTGAACCTGAGAGTGTACCTAAACAAACCTAGATGGTGTAGCCTACTACAGAGGTCCCCAACCTTTTTGGCACCAGAGACTGGTGTTGTGGAAGACAGTGGTGCCAAAAAGGTTGGGGACCTCTGTAGTAGGAAGGGGAGTTAGATTTTCCTAAGTAGTGCACAACCTAGATCCCCTGCATGTGCAGTTTACAAAAGGGTTCTCCCTCCCACAGGAATCTAATGCCCCCGCTGATCTGACACGGGATGGAACCCAGGCTGAAATGCTGGCTCCCCCGCCACTCACCTCCTGCTATGCTGCTCAGTTTCTAATAGGCCTCAGACCACTACTGGACCACAACATACACATTTATATATAGTTACCTGTATATGCACACAATGTCTCTGGAACAGAACTAAATACATACTTTGTGGGCCCAGTGCAAAATAAATCTGCATGGCCCTTGTTCAAAACTCTTCTGAATTTCAAGCTAGTGATAGCAAAACATTAAACCAAGTACCTATCTGTAGAGGTAACATCCATAAAACCAGCCCTGCTCTGGCAACATACACAGGAAAATGGAATAGTGGTGATTTCAAGAGGAAAATTCCATGAGTGACAAGAGAAAAAGATTAAAAGAAGACTTACTTTCACTACATACCTTTTTCTGCCTTTTAAATTTTGTATGTGTAAAGGCATTATTTATTCAAAACACACCAAAAAAAAAAAAAAAAGAATAAAAACGGGAGACTGTGGGCATATTTGGTTAGCAACTCTTTGAAGTGGAACTTTGATGACTGCCCGAAGCAAAGAACATCCGCTGAGGAAAATGTGGGTTGTGAGGTGCCCTCAGACTTGAGCAAGCACTGGGCCCTGTGCTTTGGAGGAGTCTGAAGTCCATGGAATCATGGGACTAAAGCCACCTGCAGCCAACTCTCCCTTTTTCAGACCATGCTGTGGGCACTCTAGAATTCCCTATCCCAAAAGCCAAGCCTGATTCCAGGGTCTGCACAATCCTCTTCCCAAGTTCAGCCCTCCTGAGAAGCAACCAAAGGGTGAGGCTGGACAGAAGGCTGGAGCGTCTAACATCAGGCTCAAAAATTGTGTGAAGCATTCTCTGACTCTTCCAAGGCAGAAATGTTATTTTCTCTGAGGTCAAAACACATTTTGTCCACATTCATCACATCAATTAACTGGCTCTATTGTTATGTACTATATCATGATGACTTAGCTCAAGTACATTTTCTGAGGTCTCCTATAGATTAAAAAAAAAACACACACAAAACAGCAACTGAGAAGTCCCATTTGGGCACCCTTCTCTTTTAAAACGAGAAAAAGCTGTTTTCTGGGCCGGGCGCGCGCAGTGGCTCAAGCCTGTAATCCCAGCACCTTAGGAGGCATAGGTGGGCGGATCACCTGAGGTCAAAAGTCTGAGACCATGCCTGACCAACATGGAGAAACCACGTCTCTACTAAAAATACAAAATTTGCCAGGCGTGGGTGGCGCATACCTGTAATCCCAGCTACTTGGGAGGCTGAGGCAGGAGAATCACTTGAACCTGGGAGGCGGAGGTAGGGGTGAGCCGAGATCGCGCCATTGCACTCCAACCTGAGCAACAAGAGGAAAACTCCGTCTCAAAATTCAAACAAAAAATACTGTGAATCCAGATTTTGAAATAATTATCAGCGCGTGTGTTCTGTACACTGACCCACGTTGTAGTATACTGCTGAAGGGTGTCCACCCATAAGTGATCTGGTCAAAACATAAGCACGTTTTAACAAGACCATTGATTAACTATGACTACAACTCCCAAAATGCACTGCAGGGTCAGTCAGCGTGCATGACTCGCCTGGTTTTCACTGAAGTGGCTAACGGGCTGCACAGAAGTGACAGCTGAACAAGCTGAGAGACTGTATTAAAGAACGAACATAGCCGGGGTGGGGATTGGGCGTCTGTGGTCCCAGCTACTCCGGAGGCTGAGGTGAGAGGATTGACTGAGCCCTAAAGGCGGAGGCTGCAGTGGGTCAAGATCGCGCCACTGCACTACAGACTGGGCGACAGAAAGAGACTGTCAACCAACAACAGAATGAATAAAGGGATTCTACAAAGAGCGAGCTGGGATTTAAATAAACGACACGCTACTACGACCCAGTGCGTGAACCATATCCACCTCGCAAAGTGCGACAATAGCCTCGATGCAGAGGAAATTTCTCCTTCGCTTATTCAGTGCAGGAGACCCCTATAGAGAATACAGGAAACGCCCGTGAGAACCTGAATTATCGAAACAATGACAGATGTTAGGAAAGTAGCTCCCCGCCACTTCCCTAAACTTATCTGCAGACTTACTTTCCAAGGTTACAAACATGGGAAGAGCATTGTATTGCATGAAGCGGAAAATGTGCTTTCCAATCGCCAGCTATTAAAAGCCTGGCGGTGGTGAAACGCTCTGAGGGAAATAGGAAACTGTCAACACACTTGCACGAACCGCCTGGAGAGCTGTGTGCACAGACACTTCCTGGGCAGATGCTTAATTGTAACGAGGTTTAGTGGGCTTCTATTCGGCTGAAAGAGTTCTACTCTTTTTCTTTTTCACAGAAAGGTTTAAATTTCACAGTTTGTTCTTTTTCACAGAAAGGTTTGAATTTTTTTCCCTCTGGCGGACGGAGTGAACTTCCTTCCATCAAGATATGCGAGCACTTTTCTTTCTGTACCTGGTTACTCCGGTTCAAGGCTTCGTACTTCCCCGGTTTGCTTTGCTTTTTCCTCAAAACTGAGTTTCTGCGAACATCACACGCAGCTGCCAGCTAGCCTATAACCTGACGAAGTGCGGAACCGGACTCAGCCCAGCCGCCTTCCGCCGAGCAGCCTCTCGCGGCGCATGCCGGGAAGATCGCGAGAACCTCCTGCCCAATTACGATCCCGCGCCAGGAGGCGGGGCCGAAGAGGAGGAAGTCTCGCTGAAGCACTCCTGCCCCAGTCGTGTACCCTTCCTCGCGAGAACGCTGAGCATTCCGGCTTCGGAAGCGCTTGTAGAAGCGGAGGTGCGGTTCATTGAACTCGTCGGCCGCCGTAGCCCCTGCTAGGACAGCCCGTGCGAGCCTGCTGGAGGAGGAAAAGAAAGGCAGAGAGAGTCGGATTACAAGATGGCGGATCTGTAGTAGTTACCGCGGCGGTACCGGCGGCGGTGGGAGAGCGAGCGAGCCCTGGGGAGCAAAGGGACCGGAGGGTGGGTGTATGCGGGGGTGAAGTGAGAGGTAACAGGGCCTCCGGGCGAAGGGGTCTCAGTGGCTCTTGTCACCCCTTCTCGCGGCTGAATCTCTGGACCATGGTGAATTCGGGCCTCTCCGGAGCCGCCGCCGCCACTACCGCCTCTACCGTCTCTCAAGAGTGAGGGGCGCGGACGAGGTGAGCGAGGAGGCGGCGGCTGGAGCGGTGGAGACAGCAGCCACCATGTCGGATACGCGGCGGCGAGTGAAGGTCTATACCCTAAACGAAGACCGGCAATGGGACGACCGAGGCACCGGGCACGTCTCCTCTACTTACGTGGAGGAGCTCAAGGGGATGTCGCTGCTGGTTCGGGCAGAGTCCGACGGTAAGGGTATCGGAACGGTAGAACAGGGGATAGTGCCTCTGATTGGGGCACAGTCTGGGGTTTAAGGCCCTGGGCCGGTTACCGTTACTACCACTTCGGGACAGCGCGTTGGTTCTAAGCTGGAGCTTGTGTACGCCAAAAACAAACTACTGTACTTTTGACTGGACTTATCCTCAGAGACTGAGACTCTGTCCGCCTCCCATCCCTCTTAAGGATTGGACTTCTTCTTTTACAGTCCCTCCTCTTTTGAAGAGGGGAGAGTGTAAGAGAAGGGAGGAAGTAGTGAGAGACTAGGTACTGATGTCGCCGTAGGAGCTGACACCCTCCTCCCCCTTTATTCCTTTATTTTCGTATCCATTATACATCTAGTACAAAAGGTTTAGCGAAACTTTTCTTTCCGAGTGTCGTTAAAAGAAATTTACCAGTGGGCCCCAGGTGCCACAGTCGGCGGGTGCTGGGGAAAACCAAAAGGCACCTTTTCCTGGCTGTATTGCTGACTGTTACCACGATACATGGACACACAAGCACATACATCTTTAGTGTGGGATTTCTTTGGGCTGCCTTTGTAGAAGGCGCTGTGAAAAAGTGAATGCCTTGCAGTCTAAGCAAGTTGGGACACCAAAGCAGGTTGTAAACTCATATTCTTTGATTTATTGTAGTCATGTGAAGTATTTTAAATTACAAAATGTAGAGCCGTAATTAAAACGCCTTTTATATTGTAATCTGGACTTGATTTGAACAACTAATATGGGCACTTAGAAAACTAATCTTAGGTTTATTCTTGACATATTTTGTTTTCTTGCACGTTCCCTTTTATTTTAAATAGTCAACGCTTATTTCTACAGAAGGTGTTCTTTTGTTCTTAATGAGAAAAGGATAAATGCAGCACTTTAATTTGTATACCAAGTATTTAATCCCTGTCATGGTGTTTTGTTTTTGTTTTGTAATTTGCTTTATTGTTAAACTGGGAATACAATAAAACAACTTTTACTTTAAAAAACGGCTTGAAGTGGTCATTTAGACCTTAAAATTTTTATTTCAGTAAAATTTTAATAGCCATCTAGTCTCCTCATTCCTTGGTTTGAATGTTGGTTTCAAACGAATTTTTTTCTTTAAGAGTGTATGGGAATAGTAAGAAATATTCTAAATTAAATATGAAGCCTAGACTTGGAGAGAAAATGTGAATTCGAATACATTTTATTACTTCAGATATCCAGTTGGGTCAAAAGACATGAAAACGTTGGGGGGGGGGGGTGTGGTTTTTTTTTTTTTTTTTTGAGATGGAGTCTTGCTCTGTCACCAGCCTGGAGTGCAGTGACACAATCTCAGCTCACTGCAACCTCCGCCTCTTTCTTAAGCGATTCTCCTGCCTCAGCCTCCCCAGTAGCTGGGACTACAGGCACATGCCACCACGCCCAGTTGAATTTTGTATTTTTAGTAGAGATGGGGTTTCACTGTGTCTGCCAGGATGGTCTTGATGTCTTGACCTTGTGATCTGCCTGCCTCGGCCTCCCAAAGTGTTGGGATTACAGGCATGAGCCACCGTGCCTGGCCTTAATGTGTATTCTTATTTTTATTTAGGTTTTTATCATTTTAGACTTATGATATATTATTATTTTTTATCTTTCAGGATCACTACTCTTGGAATCAAAGATAAATCCAAATACTGCATATCAGAAACAACAGGCAAGTAGTTGTTTATCTTTAATTTGAAAGACTTCATCTGTGATCAAGGAAGTATTAATCTGACAAAGGTGGGAAAGCTTTCCTGACAAGAAAAAACATGTTTAGTAAACAAAGATCATGTGTATTTCTCTTGCAGGTTAAAAGTTTCAGACTGAAAAGTGAGTTTTTGTACTGGTGATAATTATCACCATTTTTGAATTGAACCACTGTCAGTTTATATTAGATTATGATGTATTAGTATTATTTAACTATAGTTAGCCAGGACTCTTCTATACCTTGTATATGAAACCTTTTATTCTGAGTCACATTTAAAGAAAATGACTTGAAAGAAAATTCAAAGGGACACTTTTAAGAAAGCCTGTTTGTGGTGTGAAATTAAATCCTTTGACTTAGGTAAAGATAGAGGTTTTGAAGTAGAAACATTAAATTCTGCTCTTTAATTGTTGTATATTTTTATTATAGTAATCAATGGATACTTTATAAAAGTGTACATTGCCAATTATGTACCATCTTCTGTTAATATTTATTGTTTTATTTGGGAAAGAAAATGTGTGTTGTATTTTAGCATGCCTGATTAATCTGAAAATGATAGCAGTGATTCAACCTTTTTATTCTGTGAATGTTTTTATTTTTATTATGAAATATATTAAAATTGAAAAGTACAGAGAATAATGGGGGTCTACTGTAACACCACCAGATTTAACAATGTTAACATTATATCATACTTGTTTCAAATACTTTTGTAATATTGAACATTATGGATAGAGTTAAAGCTTGTTTGTATCCATCCCATTCTCTCCATTCTCCATCCTCTACATAGGTAACCACTATTCTGAAGTTGATGTGTATTCTTTGTGTACATGCTTTTATACCTTTTCTGCATATGTATGTATCCATAAATAATATGTAGTCTGTTGTGTGTTTTTAAACTTTACACAGTTGATATCGTACTTTTACATGTATTCTGCAGCTTGCATTTTTCACACATTCATTTTGAATATTTGTTCATGTTAACAATGTAGATCTAGTTTTCTTTTTAAACTCTGTATAGTATTCTTATTTATGACATACACCTGTTGTTATACATTTGAATTATTTCCAGGTATTTTGTGTGTGTGGTATGTAAAGTGACAATGGCAGAGATTGTTGAAGGAAGATAAATTATTTTAGGATTACATTTACAGCATCAGTGCTTCAAGGTTTATGAAAATTTGGATGCCCAGAAACAAGTACTTCATAGTTGGAGGAATAAAATTCTGTCTGTTGTGCAGCTTATTAATACAAAGTCTTACTGTTAAACAATTGTTTTATGTATACAACACATTCTTAATCAGTTCTTTGAAATACTTTAAAATTTTCAATATTCAATTAATAGCTTTTTTCTCTGTTTAGAAAATATTGTGTGTCTTTTTTGATGGAGAAGCAAATTAAACATTTGTCCTGAATTGAAAATCTGAAGATGTTTCCTATACCTTAGACATTTTAAGGTAGACATTTAAGTATATTTAATTTTTAAGTCAGCTGGGCAGTTCTTACTCTATCTTTATACTGAATTTTTACCAGATAATCACTTTTGGTTTATTTTTGTTTGCTTGGTTCTTTGTGGGGACAGAAATACTAATTTTTTTAACCATATTTCCCTTATCTGCATAAATATAAAATTATCAGGAACTTTTTATTAAATGTAACTAAGTCATAAATAGTTCCATACAAATTTAGTTAGAATAATGGATTCTTCTCAGATCATATGTAAGATCCTTTAGCTGTTGGAAAGATCACAGTATGGAGTAGGCTTGTAGTTGCCCAACATAAGTTAAAAAAACACAGTGGTTCTCTGAATACTTTAGAATCATTAGGACATGTAGGTAATTTCGTGTATAATGTTACTGCACTAAAAAATTATTTCTAGATAATTAGCATTTTTGTATACACTAAGTATAAAGTATTGGAGAAAAACTGTTTTATTTTAAAAAATTATACCATTTGGAATGTTTTCCGTAATTACAAATAATATACTATTTGGACTTTTTAAAACTGTGGGTTTTTTTGTTTGTTTTTTTTTATATGTAACATTGACATATATAAGAAAACTTTGGTAATGAGAAGAATATGGAAACACAGTGTAGAAGAATGAAAAACTGGTATGAATGAGATTACCTGTTTATTTTTGTTTAAATTGAGTTCACTTTTCTAATTGAAATCATAGGGCCACTTAGGAGTTATGTTAAATTTAGTTTCTTTGTAATGGATGTGGTTTTTTACATTTTCACCCAAATCTTCAGTTTGCATTTTTAAAAAAGTAATTTTTTGAGAGGGTCCTCTGTCACCTAAGCTGGAGTACAGGTGTGATCACAGCTCACTGCAACCTCAACCTCCTGGGCTCAAGCGGTCCTGCAGTTTCAGCCTTCATGAGCCACCACACTAGGCTAATTTTTAAAAAAAGTGCTAAAGATGGGGTATCATGTTGTCCAGGCTAAATTTGCACTTTAAAAAAAAAATTTTATTAAAAAACTTGTTTTCTTTTGGTTTTTGTAGAGATGGAGTCTTATGATGTTGCCCAGGTTGATCTTGAATTTCTGGCCTCAAGGGATGCTTATGCTTCAGCACCCCCAAGGTGTTGGGATTACAGGTGTGAGCCACTGTATTCAGCCTAAATTGTAGTTTTTTGAAGTTACACAGATTGGGATTTCCAAATAAGTAATATTTTTCTATGTTTGTTAGAATTATCCTTTATAAAAGGCATCATTTAGGTTATTCAATAAAGTAGTCTAGAAAGTTATTAATTTCCAAATTTTACATGAAGGCTGTAGTTCATTAGAGGAGTTAAAATTTTTTCAGAGATGGGATCTTGTTATGATGGCCAGGCTGAACTCAAACTCCTAGGCTCAGGTGATCCTCTCACTTCATCTTCTCCAGTAGCTGGGACTATAGTAATGAGTTAAAAAAAAAATTTGTTTCCATTAGTGATTTTTTTATTAAAAACTTAATGAGTAAGTGAATGAGATGTTTATAGGCCATTTTGCTGTATTAAAATACATTGACTGTGGCAGGCATGGTGGCTCACACCTGCAGTCCCAGCACCTTGGGAGACCTAGGAGGAGGATTCCTTGAGCTCAGGTGAGAACAGGTGCACAACATAGCAATATCCCTGTCTCTACAAAAAAAAGAAAATTAAAAAATTAGCCAGGTATGGTGGTGCATGCCTATAGTGCCAGCTACTTCGAGAGCTGAGATGGGAGGATCATTTGAGCTTGAAAGGTCGAGACTATAGTAAGCCATGATCATGCCACTGCACTCCAATGTGGGAGACAAAGTGAGGCCCTGTCTCAAAAAAAAAATTTTTTTGAATAAATTATTTTCTTCTTTTAACATTACAGTTCTAAAATGAGCCAATTACTAAATTGTGTGCTCAAGATACATCTTTTCCTTTAAAAATGAAGTACTGAATTGTGAGTTTAAAAGGAGTCAGAATGAATCAAGTTCAGTGTCATATGACTGAATATTGAAGTCATTGATTCACATCACTTTCTTCCTTACTGTGCACAATACTGAAGTAGTTAATGGAAGAAGATGTACTTACCCAATAAACTTAAGCATTTAAACATGTTGGAAAGAGAAAAGGATCGTTATATGATACAAGATGTAATAACATACCTGATATGTGTGACAAAAATTTTAAGTTACTTAAAATCAGTCACACTGATACAAAAATCGAAAGCAGAGTCAAAGCCAGGTATGGTGCTTGTAGTCCCTGCTACACGGTAGGCTGAGGCTGGAGGATCACTTGAGGCCAGCAGTTTGAGGCTGATGCATTACGATTGTGCCTGTGCATAGCCATTGCACTCCAGCCTGGACAACATATCTTAAAAAATAAAAATAAAAAACAAGAGACATACTAGGAACAGTGGCTAACACTTGTAGTCTCAACACTTCGGGAGGCTGAGGCAGGAGGATCACTTCAGTCCAGGAGTTCAGAATCACCCTGGCAACATAGTGAGACTTTTTCTACAAAAAACTATAAAAGTAAATTAGCTGGACCTGGTGACACACACACCTATAGTCCCAGTTACTTGGGAAGCTGAGGTGGGAGGATCACTTGAGCCCAGGAGGTTAGTGCTGCAGTGAGCTGTGATTGTGCTACCACACTCCAGCATGGGCGATAGAGCAAGACTGTCAAAAAAAAAAACAAAACAGAATCATAGAAATGTAAAACTATTTAACCCAATTGTGCATTAATGGGTTTAGGAAAATTCTCATTGCAGTTTTATTTGGAGGTAAGATGTAACAGGTGAAACAGATATAGAATGATATAATAAGATAGCTGCTACAGTGTTTTACTACAGTCTTCACTGAAAGCCAATGAAAGCATTTCACACATGAGGCAACAAAGATACGGAAAGGGTAAGATCCTTGACTGAGATTATACAGCAGGTATGTGCCAACACAAAATATAAAAAGCAAACTTGTGTTCCACAGATTTGAGCAGTAGAAAATTAAGGAAGAGGTTAATGTAAGCTGGAATCATTAAGAAAAACTTCATTTTTGGTGGTGGTAGTGGAAGGAATTGTGATAAGGAAGGAAATATATCTGCTACAAAAGGTATTGTCTATTTACAGCAGAGGTTTCTTCCCCCAACCCTTAATCCCAAATATGATAATACACAGGTTTAGAAGGGGATGTTATAGGTTCTTAAGTAGGGGCCTAAAGTGATACCGTGTTTAAAGGAACAAGTGTGGCAATATCATGGATAATAAATGGGGGGTGGGAGGGGCAGAAGAGCTTTGAGTGGCAAGACCTTCTGCAGTAATTGAGATTAAAAAAATGAAAGTCTATTCCACCATGGTAAATGGACATGAAAAGAAGGAACAGAGCTCCAGTATATTTTCAAGAAAGTGCTGGAAAATTTGGTAAATAATTAAATGTGAAAGAGAAGGAATCAAAGGTCACTTGTAGTGCTTTTGAGTCTGGCCAGGAAAATAATGGTTCTTTCCAGGAAGTGG